GTTCCATCCTATGGCGTTTTGGTCCGCTGGAGTTTGGTTCTACCTCGTGGGTCTTAACTCTCCCACTGCTCTTACATGTTCTTGTTCTTACACTACCTCCACTATTACTACTCTTCACTGTCTCCAACCCTCACCCCTTGTATTACCACTTTGCATTACTTTTTATACATTATAATACTACTATTCCTTCTCGCTAGACTACTCCCGTCCCCCTCTTTTATATATATATATAATTTTTTTTTTTTCTTTTTTTTTTTTTTTTTTTTTTTTTTTTTTTTTCTTAATGCTTACGTGCTGGTTTAATGGTGAATAGTCGGACAGAAACGTTTGCCCAAGTTTCTTCCAATTACAGGTTATTTCATATTTTCATTAAAATATTGACGTTCCTGCTTTATTTACCCCCCCCCATTACTCTAAATTTTTACCTCTATCATTTCAGACTGGTTGACCAAGCCAGCCCCGCCTGCACGGGTGGAGGCAGACGGCACAGGTGGAGGGCAGACCCGCACCCTCCTCCACCACGGGTAAATGATGATAAATTACACATGTGCAACACCTGTGGTATCTTTGAGGAAACGTTTCGCCACAGTGCCGTCATAGTCCAGTAACAAGGGGAAGAATGGTGAAGATCATGAGTTAACTTGTACCTCTCTATGGGAGACTTAAGTCTCGAGGACACTCCCCGGATAGGAGCTCAAGGCCGGTTCACCACTACTTGGAAAGGACCCGGGCCGAAGAAATACCGTGTGAATAAAAAAAAAGTTATGTACTGATGAAGCCACTGTGTGCGAGAAGAAGTTTCCGAAACAGATCCCAAAGTGTTGCAACATGTCTAATGTTAAACTTTTGGGTTCTCTCAACCATTTATCTACATAGTAAATTGCTGTGAAACTTATCTTAAATTTGTATAGTCTAATTATTAATAACACAAATTTGCTAGAGATGTTTTTTGTCAAAATAAAATAAAATTAGAAACTTCCTATATTAGTAATAGTTGATGAATATTAATTATGAACATTAAACGTTTTGAATTGTTTAATTCGATGTATCGACCACTGAGGGACTGATCTCGTTCACGATTGTTTAAATTTCAATCGGAGGGAAAGCGCATAAACTGTAAGGGTCACACAATGCCTGTGGAATGGAATGTCTAATTCGATCCTAAGCAGGGAGAGAACTTCAGTTCCTTGAATCAAGAGGCCCCTCAAAAGTGTCAGGGTAGATTAATGGCATATTGTAAAATAACACTTTACATCAACTCCAGTAAATATACCAAAATTTCTTAAGATTACACAACTGATGGACATTCATAAGGCGATCAGGGGTCTGTCCCCCTCCTATCACACGAAAACAAAATTTAGGAATAACCAACGTAATAATTGTACATAGGACCGCCCACGCATCCACATAATCCAGTTAATCTTGCCCAAGATACATTACACAAGTGTCGAAATTTGAAATCGATAGAGTAGAGTTCTCGAGTAATAAAACTAATGCTGAAAATGTTCTGACAATTTGTTAAGTCTTCCCTCGTTTAACTTTAAAATCCCATTAAAACAGCGTGTTACTATTTTTCCAGTTTGGTTTTTTTCCTATTTTACATTCTACTTAAATGCTCTACACAATACTGAAGAAACTGTTTGACTTTTGATTTGTTTTAAAAACAAACTTATGAAACGGGCCAAGTATTTGGAAAAATTCCCCCCCCCCCACAGCCTAAAATTAGAAAAGTTTTTTTAGAAGGTATAGAGGTTTGAAGCCGCCGTAGACGCTTCACTGGTTATTACATTGATGCACATGCCCAGCCCTTCTAGGGATAGGGTACGTGCCTGAGCTGAGCTTGTATGCTCACAGACTGTCATTCCATTAGTCCCCTTGGGGCGGGGATGGCATACAGAGGCGTTAGCTTGTGGCTTGGCCTGAGGACAGTTTGGTCCATAGATTGGAGGTCCTTATGCCTCCTTCCATCATATTCAAAATCGGTTTATTCTCTATAGGATTACATTGCAGGGCTTACGATTTGGTTGTGGGTTTACATTGGTAGTAAAATACTAATTGCAGAGGGGGCCACTAGAACACCTAGATGCCTAGGCATTTAGGCAAACTTGATTAATCTTACCCTAAATTGTAACAATTTATGGAATAAGTTTGACCTAAATACTATGTGACTAAATACCAAGTGACAAATATGGGGCGACTTGGGTCTCACACGCTTAGAGGAGCCAAGGCGGGCCACACTTGGAACGGCCCGGGGCCGGAGGAAATACCGGCGGAACTTTTAATAAAGTCAGTTTTACATGGGAAATTAATTTACTTAATAAAATTGCCAACTTGATATTTACTCAGACTGGAAGTGGCAAACGTTTTGTAACAAAACCCCCCCCCCCCCCCCAACACGATGGTAAAGTTAAAGCCGATCAGAAAGATATTCTCCAGTAAATGTCTGTTTTAACGATTCCAATTTTTTTAACTATTTCAGAATATTTCAAAAAACTTGGTTACTTAAACTTAAAATTATGGGTCGTTCATATTCTGATAAATACGTTATATGAAAATCTCACTCTGAAGAATTCTTTAGTGGTTGACTAAAAAATGTTATTAATTGGCAAACTTGGGCTTCTGCCACCCAGTAGAGTGAACCTTGTGTTAGGGAAGCACTCTGTGGGAAAAAGTTTGTAGCTGATTAGACGAATCATTTTTTTTCCAGTTATGTCACGGATGCAACTTATACCAAGTGGGTTTTTTTTTTTTTTACTGCCTCAATAAAATTTGGCTGAAAGCATAGTAACTTTACGTTACCATCCTGGCTCTTTAATACATCAGTTAGTCTTCAGAAGAGGTAACGGAAAATTATTTAAAGTGATTTAAAAAAAAAAATCAAAATTTTTACAAAAAATCTTCAACTCTGTGCTGCATTTTATATTCTTGAATTTCCTCTCCGCATCATAGATTTTTTTGTTTCTAAAGCTTCCGCACTGAGATTTTAGATAGGATTTGTTCTTACAGGATGCTGGGCATGGGTGCAATAACTGGTCAT